CAAAAAAAAAAAAAAAAAAAAAAAGAAATGTGACCAGTTGTCCCAATAGTTGTCATATGTTAATGACAGCATGTGTGTTTATGTGTGGTCCAGGGTTCCCGTTATCCTGAGTTACCATGTTCCTTTAATCTGAAACATGTACTCAGCATTTCTTTGTTCTTCACAACAATTTGGCAATTTTAAGAACACATGCCCTAGCCAGGCGTGGTAGTGCGTACCTGTAGTTCCAGCTACTCAGAAGGCTGAGGTAGAAGGATCGCCAGAGCCCAGCAGGTCGAGGCTACGGTGGCCGGGAGCGTGCCACTGCCCTCCAAACTGGACGACAGAGTGAGACTCCAACTCAAAAAAAAAAAAAAAAAAAAAGAATACACGCCCATTATTTTGTAGAATGCCCCTTGACTTGGGTTTATATAATGTGATCTCACGAATATACTCAGGCAAAGAGCTTGTGTTGAAAATATGTCCAGATTGAAAGGGAGGAGAAGGGAAAGTAAAATTACAGCTGAAAAATCTGAAGAACATGACCTCTGATGACCAAGGTCAACATCATTAGTTACCATGTTGATAGTAAGTATCCTTGATGTGATGGGATGATAATGGCATTTTTACCTCTATGACCTTCCTCTCCAAGACCCATGAATCCACATTTTGGATGAGAAAAACGGTCCACAAACCCCAATGGAGGGGCATTGCATACGATACCTGACCAGGACTCCTCAACACTGTCAAGGTCATCAAAAACAAGGCATGTCTAAGAAACTGTCACAGCCAAGAGAAGTCTAAGGACACATGAGAAATATATATAATGGAGTGTCCTGGATGCTACTTAGGAACAAAAAGAGGACATTAAGTAAAAACTAAGTAAATCAGTATAAAATATAAACTATGGGAACTCTCTGTGTGCTCTTTGCAATTTTTCTCTCTTTATTTCTTTTCTTTTCTTTTCTTTTCTTTTGAGTCAGAGTCTCACTCTGTTGCCCAGACTGGAGTGCAGTGGCATGCTCACGGTCACCACAGCCTCGACCTGCTAGGCTCAGGTGATCCTTCCACCTCAGCCTTCCAAGTAGCTGAAAGCACAGGCACACCCCACCACACCTGGCTAATTTTTTGATTAATTGTAGAGACAAGGTCTCACCAAGTTACCCAGGCTGGTCGCAAACCCCTGGGCTCAGGCAATCCTCTCAACTCGGTTTCCCAAAGTGCTAGGATTACAAGCCCACCTTTCCTTTTTATTTTTATTTTTTATGCACGCATTTCTATGTCCTTGTGTTTGTTATTGAATTCCCAGTTCACTCCCACAAACTGAAACTCAGAATACCCGCCCCCAGAATGCCCTCTGAATGGGTTTACAATTACTCAATATCTTCAACCTTTTGACTGTCAGTCACCATATCCTCTGCTCTTTATCAGCCAGTAAACTTTGCAATAAACAGATGACACACTGGGGAGAGGTTAATGATTGTTTTATTTTTGCTAGAAAATCTGATCTGCCCTCAGCTGCCGCCATCTTCAGCAGTGGCTGCAGCTGGCACCCTAACACCAAGGCACAGAGAGCTCATTGCCATGTCGGACGACAACTTGTGGTATGAAGGAATAGCTTTCCCCACTGTGGGCTTCAAGCCTGAACTCATGAAACAAGCACACGATGAGTTCGTGGTCAAGGATGAGGATGTGGTAACAGTGACTTACCCCAAATCAGGTAAGGAGACGGAATCATGAACTAGGAAAGGCTGTGGTTGTGTTCCTCACTGATTCAGTAGATGATTCGAGAGATTTCAGTGTGAACGACAATGCACAATACTTGGTGGGGAAGGGAGAAATGCCTAATGTCATCTACATTCAGAAAAAATGATTGAGTCAGGAAATTACACTGTAAGGCGAGTGTTTGGGGGATGATCTAAGGTATTCAGAGAACCCACAGGTGGGAATCCCAAGGTGGTTCTGGTGTTTATTTGAGGATGTATGTAGAAAGGACAGAAGGAGTTGGCCAGGAAAGTCCTCATAAAAATAACATCTCCAGGCGGGTGCGGTGGCTCACGCCTGTCATCCCAGCACCTTGAGGCAGAGACAAGAGGATTGCCTGAGGCCAGGGATTCAAGACCAGACTAGACAACTTGGCAAGACCTCATCTCCACAATAAATCAAAAAAATCAGCCGGGCGTGATAGCGCGCGCCTGTAGTTCCAGCAACTTGGAAGGCTGAGGCGGAAGGATCTCCAGAGCCCAGCAGGTCAAGGCCGTGGTGGCCGGAGCGGCCACTGCACTCCAGCCTGGGTGACAGAGTGAGACTCCAATTCAACAAAAAAGAAATAATATTATTTCCACTGAAATGAAAAGAACGAATGTGAGATTACTTGGTGAAGATTCTTCAGACAGGAGAATCGTCATGGACGATGGTAGGAACTGGACAACATTCTGTCAAATCCAAGGGACTGAAGGATGGGAGTCATATTTCTATGGGAGTAGGGTGGAGGAGAGGGGTAAGTCATTGCAAATTGGGTAAAGATTGAGACCACAAACATTGGAAGTGGAACGGCCCTGAGAAGCTACGAGCCATGGGACATTTTTCCGCCATATTCACTTTTTTTATTTCCCTGGAGAACTAAAACTTCATCCAGCTGTAAAAAATATGAGGTACACATTCAAGAAGGGACATGCTTAACCTCAAGAATTGTGGAATTAATTTTTTTTCTTTTCCAATAATATTTCAAGTCCCAGTTAAATAAAAATGCTTCAGACATACCTAGCTAAATATTTTCACTTAAACAATAGCACATAACCAGGCGCGGTGGCTCACTCCTATAATCCCAGCACTTTGGGAGGCAGAGGTGAGAGGATTGCCTGAGCCCACAGGTTCGAGACCAGCCTGAGCAACTTGGCGAGACCTCATCTCTACAACAAACCAAAAAATTGGAAGGATGGCCTGAGTTCAGCAGGTCGAGGCTGTGGTGGCCGTGAGCGTGCCACTGTACTCCAGCATGGACGACAGAGTGAGACTCTGACTCAAAAATAATAATAATAATAACAACAACAACGACACAGAATCCTTCTCAGGAAGATCGCTAAACATGATACCTTTCACAATCACAGAGAGCAAATAAAATTAGACACACAGATATTAAAGGCCAATTATCAAAACGAAATGAATGTTTAGCACAGACTAATCATTTATATCAACAATGGAAATAGAATGGTTAGGTCTGTGTGCCAACGTCGCAGGAAAGATGAAAAGAATTGCACCAGGAGGAGGTTAGAAAAAGTTTTTTGAGAAGGTAAATTAGAGGAAAGGGGTAGAACCGCCTCTTCAAGGTCAAAGAGGGGGCCAAGCACCATAGAAGTGTTTGGTGCCGAATATCTGAGGCTGGGTGCTTACAAGGCTTCCTAGAGAAGTCTGGGGACAGGAGTATTCCCGGGAAACATAACTGGGAGGGGCGGGAGAGGGAGGAGATGTTGTGATGGCGATTAGCTATTCAGGACAGCAGCAGCCAGACAGTTGATGACCCAGGAGGGAGAGCAGCCCGAGGTCTACAAAACAAAATTTCAAGACACAAACGTTAAGCTTCGAACATCCTTGGATTTAGGGAACAAAAAGGCATTTAGCTGAGAGTGTGTTGTTCATGGAAAGATTGTAGGAGGGCTGGAGTCCTTATAACAGTGGATTCCTTTCATCTCGGTGTCCCAGAGGTTTGTCACGCAAGAAACTCATCCTTGAAGCAAGATGCTAATGATACAATCCTGATGCCCGTTCCCAGGGGAGTTTACAGTTTAACTAGTTTTACTCATCAGTGACTTTAAACAGTGGCATTAATTAAACTTACTTCAGAGCAAGAGAGTTGGCAGAGCCAATTTCATAATAAAATATGATTTACTATAATATACCACTCATTGGTAGTAATAAAAAAACAAAAATATAAAAAATATGCCCAAGGTAACTCCATTTTGGCATGAACCATCTACTTGATTTAATGTCAAATATATTTCTGGCCGGGCTCAGTGGCTCAGCCTGTAATCCCAGCACTTGGGGAGGCCGAGGTGAGTGGATTGCCTGAGCCCGCGGGTTCGAGACCCGCCTGGGCAACTTGACAAGACCTCATCTCTACAATAAATAAAAAATTAGCCGGGTGTGGTAGGGCGCCTCTGTAGTTCCAGCTACTTGGAAGGCTGAGGCGGAAGGATCGCCGGAGCCCAGCAGGTCGAGGCTATGGTGGCCGGGAGTGGCCATTGCACTCCAGTCTGGGTGACAGAGTGAGACTCCAACTCAAAAAAAAAATTATATATATATCTGACATATAATTGTCTATAGAATGAGAATTATCCATTTTAATTCAACCAATTTAAATATATTCGTTCAGCCAAAAGAACAAAATAAGCCTCTTAACATTTCTGCCGGCCTGGGCAACGTGGTAAGAACCCCATCTCTACAAGAAAAGAAAATCAGTGGGACGTGGTTATGCACACCTGTAGTCCCAGCTGCTCGGGAGGCTGAGGTGGGAGGATCGCTTGAGACCAGGAATTCGAGGCTGCAGTGAGCTGTCATCACGCCACTAATCTCCAGCCTAAGTGACAGAACGAGACCCCGTCTGAAAAGCAAAGAAATGAAAAAGAAAAATTCAGAATGTATAGGTTAATATGAAATATTTTCTGAGTGTAATACATAGAATATTGTGATCTCCACTGAGTCACAATCTATAAACACACACATCAATTGCTTTATCACTTCTCATCAGGTATAACCGGTCACTGAAACTCCTTGACCAAAATATCACTCTAATTGTATAAGGCAAAGTCCTATAATAAAATGAATGTGATAATAGCCACAATCTTCTCAAACACAGAACATAGGAGTTTTCATTTTTACAACTATGAATTTTGTTTACCAAAATCTGATTCCCAAATCCAGTTTCTAAATGTTTCAGCAGAGGTGGGGCAGTAATGGTATAAATGATTTAATGGAACTCTGGGGGAAAAAAAAAAAAACTGTCACAGATCTTAGTTTGAAAAATATATCAGGCATGAGAGACACCACGAATGACTCACAATTGCATAATAATGCTTATATATAAGCTTTATTGATCCACTAAAGGGTAAAGAGTAAGAGAGGCAAGTTACGTGCAATATTTGCTTCTAACAAAGCAGACCAAATGATATATTAATTGTTAGGGTGGGATAGGAAAGAACTCAGGCCTGGCAAAAATTTCCTCTTGGCTTTTTTTTTTTTTTTCAGCCAGGATCTCACTCTGTTGCTCAGGCTAGAGTACACTGGTACAAACAGCTCACCGCAGCCTCAACCTCCAGCACTCAGGCAATCCTGCCTCAGCCTTCCAAAGTACTGGAGGTACAGGCGTGTGCCGCCACACCTGGCTAATTTTTTTGTGTATTGTAGAAAAACGATCTCACTATGTTGTCCAGGCTGGTCTCCAACTCCTGGGCTCAAGCAATCCTCCCGCCTCAGCCTCCCACAGTGCTGAGATTACAGGCTTGAGCCACCGCGCAAGGCCCAGACTTTCTATAGGCACACCTGTTTTAGTTTTGGACTATTCACCGGTGTGCTCGTGTGATGAACAAGAGGAGCTCTGCCCATCCACGAAACGCTTGGGTCCTTGTCAACCTGCTCCCGGAAGGCAGCTGCGTGGAAGTATGGACAAATGGAAGCCAATTTGGGTGGAAAGTTAATCCATCCTAACTGAACTCTTTTTCAATTGGGTTATCCCCATGCCAGCTAGAAGTGCAGACTAATGGCTGAAGAACATGGATACGATGGATTTCGAGTCTATCATACTCAGTGATCTATCACAGAAACTAAGAACTGAGTACCACATGTTCTCACTCATAAGCAGACCCGAACATTTACCATGATACTATAAAAAAGGGATTGGCAGTAGTGGGATATTATCAGGGTTGGGGGGAACACCACATCAATAAGCGTACCTGATCTCAAACCAGGCAAAGTGGGAACCAAAGGGAGGCCCAAACTTTACCTATACGGTGTTCACATGTATAACTAATCCTGAATTATACCCCACATCTTTAAAATTATATATATATATTTTTTTTTTTTAAAGAACATGGATACACGTCTGTCCTTAAAATGCTTATAAGAGGTCATGATGTGATCCTGCAGTTTATTGATCCTATGTTCTCCCAGAGTGAGTCCTGAAAATCCTCAGCTCTGTTTAGCCACCATTCCAAATAAAATCTAAATCATATAGTTTAAATCCTTTATGAAGCCAGGCATAGTGGTTCATATATGTAATCTCAGGACTTTGGGAGGCCAAGGTAGGAGGATTGCTTGAGCCCGGGAGTTGGAGACCAATCTGTGTAACATATCAAGACCCCTTATCTACAATATATCAAAAAATTAGCTGAGGGGGGTTGGCAGACACCTGTAGTTCCAGCTACTTGGGAGGCTGAGGCGGAAGGATAGCCTGAACCCAGGAGGTGGAGGCTGAAGCAAGCTGTGATCATGCCACTGCACTCCAGTCTGGGTGACAGAGTAAAACCCTCAACTCAAAAATAAGTAAACAAATAAATAAATCCTTTACAGGATTCTGTAATCCCATCAACCAAATAGCCAGGCTGCAGTTGTTTTATGCAACATTTCATTGGAAAACATGGAAAGGTATTTCGATGTTGTCTAGCAAAATCAATGAGGAATTTATAGAAAAAAAAAAACTTTTTTTTTTTTTGCTTTGAGTCACATCTCACTCTGCCACCCAAGCTGGGGTGCAGTGGCATGCTCACCACCACCACAGCCTCGACCTGCTGAACTTAGACGATCCTCCCACCTCAGTCTTCCAAGTAGCTGGAACCACAGGTGCACACCACCACATCCAGCTAATTTTTTAAATTTATGGTAGAGACGAGGTCTCGCCAAGTTGCCCAGGCTGATCTCCAACTCCTGGGCTCAGGCAATCCTCTTGCCTCAGCCTCCCAAAGTGCTAGGATGACAGGTGTGAGCCACCGCACCCAGCTAGGAAAAAAATCTTGGTATATCAAAAACGCAGACTGTAGTCACAGCGAAGCCCTTCAGCACAGCTCGAACATGTTCCTGATGAAGAGGCTCAAAGCCACATGGTAATCTCACGTGAGAAGCAATGAAGTTCTTCTTCAACCAAAGTCAGGAGTTTCTAAAGAATTTCAAGCATAATATGTCATAGCAAAAGAGAACCTGCTCTTTTGTTTGAATGGTGCCAGAATGTTGTTCTCTCGTCTGGGCCACTCTATCCACAGGGTTGAAATGGAAGAATATCTCAATATCTGTTATTTTCTCTGTTGCTTGGTTGATACCCAGAGTTGAACTCACCAGGCAGATTGTTTTCTTTTCTTTTTTTTCTTTCTTATTTATTTATTTATTTGTTTGTTTGTTTATTTTGAGCAGGGTCTCACTCTGCCACTCAGGCTGGAGTGCAGCGGCATGGTCCCAACTCAACCTCCTGGGCTCAAGCAATGCTCCCACCCCAACCTCCCAGGTAGCAGTGACTACAGCCATGAACCACCACACCCAACTAACTTTTTAAAAAAATTTTGTAGAGACGGGGCCTCGCTATATTGCCCAGACTGGTTTCAAGTTCCTAGGCTCAAGCAATCCTCCCACCTCAGCCTCCCAAAGTGTTGGGACTACAGGCGTGAGTCACCACATCTGGCTAGAATTCTTGAGTTCTAAATCTGGGAATCAGAGGGAAGATCATCTGTGATGGCCCTGAGGGTTCTTCGTCCTCAGAACTCTGCCTGTCTCTTCTGGGAGAGCCACAGGCTGTTCATATACTACGATCACTCTCACTCTGATCCAGGTGTCTTTTTCTGACTTGATGAAGGCAAAGTCTCCCCAAAATTCTGGTCTTCCATATCAGAGTCATTTCCCCCACGATCTTTTACTGGGTCTGTCCACCCAGCCAGCCCCAACCAAATGGGAGCTCACTAAAAATTTTTTTTCTCTTTATTTTATTTTAAAGATGTGGGGTAGCCGGGCACAGTGACTCAAGCCTGTAATCCCAGCACTTTGGGAGGCTGAGACAAGAGGATTGCCTGAGTCCAGAGGATCGAGACCCACCTGGGCAACTTGGCAAGACCTCGACTCCACAATAAGCCAAAAAATTAGCCGGGTGTGGTGGCGCACGCCTGTAGTTCCAGCTACTTGGAAAGCCGAGACTGAAGAATCACCTGAGCCCAGGAGGTCAAGGCTGCGGTGGCTGTGAGTGTGCCACTGCACTCCAGCCTGGGTGACAGAGTGAGACTCCAACTCAGAAAAAAAGATGTGGGGAAAAAAAACAAGTCAAGTTTAGGTACATAGGTAGGTGGTCTACATACAGGTGAAGTTTGGGCCTCCTGCCCATCCTCACCTTCCCTGGTTTAGGGTCAGTTACCCTTAGTGAGGTTATGTGCACCTCCTCCCCTGGCAGTGTCCTGCTATGCCAATCCCTTTCTTGTAGTGTTGGGATAAATGGTCAGGACCCACGTATGAGTGAGAACATGTGGTACTCAGTTCTTCGTTTCTGTGATCGATCACTGAGTATGATGGACTCTAAGTCCATCCAAGTTGCTGCAAAGTCTGTAATTTTGTTCTTCTTCATGGCTGCTTAATACACCATGGAATATTACACAGCCATAAAAAATATTTCAAGCAGGGCGTGCTGGTACATGTCTCCAGTCCCAGCTACTCGGGGAGGCTGAGGGAGGAGGATCCCTTCAGCCCAGGAGTTCAAGACTGCAGTTGTGGTGAACTGTGATCATGCCATTGCACTCCAGTCTAGGTGACAGAATGAGGACCCTCAAATCAATTTTTATTTTTTTAATTAAAAATAAAAATCAACATATTTCCGCAAATAGCCAGAAGGTGGAAGCAACCCAAATATCCATCGACAGTTGTATGGGCAAACACAATGTGAGATATGAATACAATGGAATGTTATTTATCCTTAGAAATGAAGAAAATTCTGACACTTGTTCCAACATGGATGAGCATTAAAGACATTAAGTTAAATGAAATAAGCCAGTCACAAAAATGCCAAAACTGTATGTTTCCACTTAGATAAGGTATCTAAGATAGTCAAGTTCATAGAAACAGAAAGTACAACGGTGGTTGCCAGGGGCTGGAGAGAGGGGTAAATCGGAAGTGTGTTGTTTGCTGTTGCCGTTGTTTTTGTTTTGTTTTGTTTTAGAGTCAGAGTCTCACTCTGTCGCCCAGGCCAGAGTGCAGTGGCACGCTTATGGCCACCGCAGCCTCGACCTGCTGGGCTCAGATGATCCTTCCGCCTCAGCCTTCCAAGTAGTTGGGACCACAGGCATGCACCACCATGCCTGGCTAATTTTCTGATTTATTGTAGAGACGAGGTCTTGCCAAGTTTCCCAGGTTGGTCTCAAACCCCTGGATTCAGGCAATCCATTGGCCTCTGCCTTCCAAAGTGCTGAGATTACAGACGTGAGTCACCACGCCCTATAGGAGTTGTTTATTGCAAGATGAAAAAGCTCTGGGAATTGGTTGAGCAACAGTGGGAATATACTTAACATTACTACACTGTAAACTTAAAAATGATTGAGATAGACCATTTTGTTATGCTTATTTCACCATAATTTTTTTAAAAGTCGTGTTGAAATGACTGACTTTGTTTTCCTTCTTTATCCAGGGACAAACTGGTTGATTGAGATTCTCTGCCTGATCCACTCCAAGGGGGATCCCAAGTGGATCCAGTCTGTGCCCATCTGGGATCGCTCACCCTGGGTAGAGACAGAGGAGGGATATAAATTATTAACTGATAAGGAGGGCCCACGTCTCCTCAGCTCACACCTCCCCATCCATCTCTTCCCCAAGTCTATCTTCAATTCCAAGGCCAAGGTCAGTGGCATGATGGTTCAGACATGTTTGATCCATGCTTCTCAAACTTGCACGTGCCTCTAAGTCACCTGGAGATCTGTTTTCATTCAGAAGGTCTAGGGTGGGACTTGAGATTCCGTATGAGGGAGACACAGACAAGGGTGGGACAGGGTGAGAACCATTCCACTGACTATCCTAGTCAGATTCAAGCTAAGGATAAAGTGAAATGACATTGCCAGAATCTTAGAACAAATCAGAATTTAGGACTGTATTATATACTAGAAAACCCCCTTTTGTGACTCTAAAAACTAATTTACCTTTTTTTTTTTTTAGATTCAGGGGGTATAAGTGTATGTTGGCTGCATGGGAATATTGTGTACTTGCAGGGACTGGACTTCTGGTGACCCCAGTCCCCAGTAGTGAATATCTCATACCTGATAGGTAGTTTCTGAACCCTCTTCACCCCCTCCCCTCTTTGGTGTCCCCAGTGTCAAATATATACATTTTCATGTCAATTTATCTCCCACACATAAGTAAGAACATGCAGTGTTTGAGTTCGTTCACCTCAGATAATAGTCTTCAACTCCATCCAGGTTGCTGCCAAGAACATGATGGTATGGCTCCATGGTATTCCACGATGTGTGTATATATCACCTTTCCTTTAGCCAGTCATCTATGGATGGACACTTAGATTGGTTCCTTGACTTTGCTATTGGAACTAGTGCTGAAAATAATATACGAGCACAGGTTTCTTTTTTAGAAAATGATTTATTTTCCTCTGGGTAGATATTCAGTAGTAAGATTGCTGGATCGAACGGCAGTTCTGTTCTCTATACTTTGAGAAAAATACTGTTTTCCATGAAGGCTGAACTCATTTACAATCCCACCAACAGTGCATGAGTGTTCCCTTTTCTCTGTATCCACACCAGCATCTGTTGTTCTTGGACTTTTTCTTTTCTTTTTTCTTTCCTTTTTTTTTTTTTGAGTTGGAGTCTCACTCTGTCACCCAGGCTGGAGAACATGCTCGTGGCCACCACAGCCTCGACCTGCTGGACTCTGGTAATCCTTCCTCCTCAGCCTTCCAAGTTGCTGGAACCACAGGCGGCACCACCACGCCCGGCTAATTTTTTGATATATTGTGAGACGAGGTCTCGCCAAGTTGCCCGGGCTGGTTGCGAACTCCTGGGGTCAGGCAATCCTCTCGCCTCTGCCTACCAGAGTGCTAGGATTACAAGCTTGAGCCACTGCACCCGGTTTATTCTTTGACTTTTTAATGGCAGCCATTCTGACTGGTGTAAGATTCTCACTGTAGTTTTCATTTGCATTTCTCTGATGATTAGTGATGTGAAGCGTATTTTTCATATGTTCACTGGTCGCTTGTTTTGAGAAGTGTCTATTCATGTCCTTTGCCCACTTTTTGGTAGGGTTGTTTGTTTTCATGTTGAGTTGTTTTAGTTCCTTGTAGATTCTGTGTTAGTCCTTTGTCTGAGACATAGTTTGCAAATATTTGCTCCCATTCTTTGGGTTTTCTCTTCAGCCTGGTGATTGTTTCTTTTGCTGTGCAGAAACTTTTAGTTTAATTAAGTCCCATTTGCCTAATTTTGGTCTTGTTGCATTTGTTTTGGGGATCGTCGTCATAAATTCTTTACCTAAGCCGATGTCCAGAAGGGTTTTTCCTAGGTTATCTTCTAGGACTTTTACAGTTTCAGGTTTTGCTGTTAAGGCTTTAATCCATCTTGAGTTATTGTATATGGTGAGAAATAAAGGTCCAGTTTCATTCTTCTGCACGTGGCTAGCCAATTTTCCCAGCACCATGTATTAAACAGCATGTCCTTTCCTCATTGTTTATTTTTGTTGACTCTGTCAAAGACCATTTGGTTGTAGGTATGTGGCTTTATTTCTGGATTTTCTATTCTGCTCCACTGATCTGTCTATTTTTGTACCAGTACCACGCTGTTTTAGTTACTATAGCCCTGTAGTATAATTTGAAGTCAGGCAATGTGATGCCTCCACATTTGTTCCATGAGTGTTTCTTGCCACTTTGGAGACAGAATTGTTCACCTGGGAAACAGCCTCAATCCAGGGTGATTGCTCTGGTATCTTGGCTGTTTTTTCTTTTTTTTCTTTTTTTTTTGGTCACCCAGGCCAGAGTGCAGTGGCACACTCACAGCCACCCAGTGTCGACCTGCTGGCTCTGGTGATTCTTCCACCTCAGCCTTCCAAGTAGTCAGAACTACAGGCGTGTGCTACCACACCCAGTTAATTTTTTATTTATTGTAGAGACAGGATCTCACCAAGTTGCCCGGGCTGGTCTCCAACCCACGGGCTCAGGCAATTCACTCTCTTATTGTATGTAACTATCTACTGAGATCAGCCAACACACAAATCTCCCATGCAGCTAACAGATGCTCACCACAAAAGACAATAAATTCCCGAAATCTAGCACATCTTGGACAGTTTTTAGAAACATCCTTTTCTGGAAGGTCTTATTGTTTGTGAATGTTTTTTGTTTAAATTAAATTGAAAAACCTAAAATAAAATTCTCCTCTCTTGGAAATGTTAGAGTGTGTAGCGGCACCACACGTGTGTTATAATACACCTATTTACGTGGGTCTTACCGGTGCTTGGTAAATCCCTGGCTGGGGAAATTGAGGCCTAGAGAGAGAGAGCGACAAGCCCCAGAACAATGTCACAAAGAAAGTTGAGGCAGAATGCAAAGTAAAATTCAGATGTTCGTGTGCCAAGCCATCGTGTGTGTGTGTGTGTGTGTGTGTGTGTGTGTGTGTGTATGTGTGTGTGTATGTGTGTGCGTGCACGCACAGTAATCATAAGTATTAGCTTGATGACTGTTTATATATGTTACATACTGGGTAGCCATCATCTAGATCCAAATTTAGAACATGTCCCTGCCCAATTAACGCCCACCCACAATGGTCAACACCCACCTGATTTGTAACTAGAGATTTGTTTGGCTTGTTCCTGAACTTCATAGAAATGGATGCATGCTGTATGAGCGATTAGGTGTCTGGCTTCTTTCACTCAATGTAATGTTTGTGGAATTTAGCCACAGCCTTGGGTGCATATATAGACACATAATGCTATATCTATGACTGTAGTGTGATGTATTAATCCGTTCTCCTGTTAGTGATCTTTAAACTAGAGTACACAGATATAACAGTACTCACCTTTTAAAACCCTCCAGCTGCTTCCATTGTGAGTGAAGTATAACATCCCAAAGGATGATACTTCTCTAGCACAGCAGCTACTTCGTAAGAACTGTAAGTGTTATACTTGATTAATGAATGAATGCAGTAAGCCATTTCTTTAAATCATCCACTGATATTAAATTGACTTTTTGGGGGGGAAATTGGCTTTTTCTCCATGTTTAGGAAGATCCGAAAGAGTAGGAAAGGACTGTATTGATTTTTTTTTACTCTCTCCTATTTCCATTTCAGATAATTTATCTCGTCAGAAATCCCAGAGATGTTCTTGTGTCTGGATACTTTTTCTGGAATTCAGTGACTTTCGTTAAGAGATCAAAGTCACTGGAGCAATACTTTGAATGGTTCATCCAAGGAAATGGTGAGTGTGTTGCCAAATACAGAACCCGGGGGTTGCTCAGAGTCCTTCATGAGACCCTGTGCGACACCAACCTCATATCTATCTCGACATCTCACCACCTCTTGGGTGTAAGTCTGCGTCACCACTGGAACCCAAATCTGCTAAGTCCTCTTACTCTCCCACAGCAAAGAACTCTAGCCAGCCCCTCGGCTTACACCATGATAAGCCCTCCTAGGTATTTCCTGTGTCTCCAGGGTCTCCCATACTCACAAAGACTGCTTGTATTCTTCTCCTTCACTCTCCTAATTTGTGACTCGGAGAAACTCAGCTTTTCATTGGCTTCCTGGACAACACAATCCTGACATTCCACCCTTTCTTTTTCCTGATGCCTCTAACCAAAACTTCCTTAATCCTCTATTTTCATATGTCTCAAAACTCATTTCATGACTCTGGGGTCTCTATAGTTTTAATTGTGCAGAATTTCTGGATTTTTTCAGGTTCTTTCAATTTTGCCATCTTTTTCTTAAATCTTCACCATGAGTCCCTGTCTCAGCTATGACATGTCTCCTGGACTCCAGCCGCCTACAGACCCCTCCAGAGACCTCTAATACAGAACCCGTGGGTTGCTAAGAGTCCTTCACCAGACCCCATGTGACACCAACCTCATCTCTACCTCTACATCTCACCACAATCCTGACATTCCACCATTTTTTTCCCTGATGCTTCTAACCAAAACCTCCTTAATCCTTTCTTTTCATATGTCTCAAAACTTATTTCATTAGTCCGAAGAGAACCCACAGATACCTCTAATTCAATGTGTTCAAATTTTAGCACCTTTTCCCATAACCCAAGTTGCTTCTACAGCACTTTCATCTTACTCCACCGTTCACCCACGGGCTAGCATGATTCTGACATTTCACAAGCATCCTCCTTCCCCACCCAACTTCCCGGTGCCCCTCACCACTGTCCTTTGTCGATTTTTTAAACTATATATATATTTTTTGAGTTGGAGTCTCACTCTATAGCCCAGGCTGGAGTGCAGTGGCATGTTCACGGCCATCCCAGCATTGACCTGCTGGGCTCAGGCGATCCTTCCACAGCAGCCTTCCAAGTAGCCGGAACTACAGGCATGCACTACCACGTCAGGCTAATTTTTTATTTATTGTAGAGATGAGATCTCGCCAAGTTGCCCGGGCTGGTCTCGAACCCGCGGGCTCAGGCAATCCACTCACCTCGGTGTCCCAAAGTGCTCAGATGACAGACTGAGCCACCAAGCCCAGCCTTAATTATTTATTTTAAAGATGCGGGGTATGATTCAGGATTAGGTATGTATGTGGACATCATACAGGCAAAGTTTGGACCTCCGCTTGGCCCTCACTTTGCCTAGTTTGAGATCAGATATCCTCGTGGATGTTGAGTTTCCCCTTCCTGCCTCCACCCGGGCAGTATTCCACTACTGCCAATCCTCTTTATCTAATAATTTTTTTTTTTGAGTTGGAGTCTCACTCTGTCGCCCAGACTGGAGTGCAATGGCCACTCCCGGCCACCGCAGCCTCGACCTGCTGGGCTCCAGCGATCCTTCCGCCTCAGCCTTCCAAGTAGCTGGAACTACAGGCGCGCGCTATCATGCCCGGCTAATTTTTTTGATTGATTGTAGAGATGAGGTCTCGCCAAGTTGCCCAGGCGGGTCACGAACCCGCAGGCTCAGGCAATCCACTCACCTCAGCCTCCCAAGGCATGGGATTACAGGCTGAGCCACCGAGCCCGCCTATCTAATTATTAATCAAGTCCCACCACCTTGGTTAATACCCTCACTCTGGCCTCTGCTGAAGTGTTGCTGCATTTAGGGAAGCCTACCATCTTAACACTGTGTGAAACAGCAACACTCCTCATTCCTGCTACTACTCATCACCAACAGGCGTGTATTTTTTGTTTATTCCACGTGTCTCCACACCAAAATCGTAAGCTCTTTGAGTCGTTGTTAAATCCCAGGTTCTAGGATCAATGGAATGCTGTTCAACCTCAAACAACAACAAAAATCCAGGCACAGTGGCTCAAACCTGTAATCCCAACACTTTGGGAGGACAAGGTGAGAGGATTGCCTGAGCCCAGGGGTTCAAGACCAGCCTGGGCAACTTGGCGAGACCTTGTCTCTACAACTAATCAACACATTATCTGGGTGTGGTGGTGTGTGCCTATAGGTACAACTGCTTGGAAGTCAGGGGGAAGAATCGCCTGAGCCCAGCAGGTGGAGGCTGCGGTGGCCATAAGTGAAACTCTGACTCAAAAAAAAAAGAAGGAAATCCTGTCATTTGCAACAACATGGGTGAACCTGGAGGACATTGTGCTAAGTAAGATAAGCCAGGCACAGAAAGACAAATACCTCATGATCTTACTTGCATGTGGACTCTGACAAAATTGAGCCCACAGAAGCAGAGAGTAGAGCAGAGGTCAACAGGGGTGGGAGGTATGAGGAATGAGACTAGGGAGATGTTGGTCAAAGGGTACAAGATTTTAGTTAGAGAAGATGAATAAGTTCTGGAGATCTATTGTACAACTTGTTGACTATTGTTAATAATGTATTCTATACTTGAAAATCACTAAGAGAGAAGATCTTAAACATTCTCACCACCCCAAAATGAGATGTGAGGTGAGGCATATGTTAATGAGCTTGGTTTTATCATTTCATAATGTATGCGTATATCAAAGCATTATGGTATCCACTGTAAACATATACAAGTTTTATTTGTGAATTATACCTTAGCAAAGGTAACAGAAGAATCAACGTGATAGATTGGACCCCTGCGCCCACAGAGTTTGTAACCTATCACTCTTGCTGCCTAAACCCCCCCAGTGATATATGGATCATGGTTTGACCACATTCGTGGCTGGATGTCCATGAGGAAGAGGAACACCTTCCTGCTACTGAGTTATGAAGAGCTGAAACAGGTAACCACCATTTTTATAGTCAGCACACGCTGTCTCACCACCACCTTCACTTCCTCTAACTTGTCTCCATTACTCTGCCTCCATTTTGCCTTCTCAAAGTTTAGCCTGCCGAAGCAGCATTAAGAGTGAGATTAGTTCCCTGGTCCTCATTTTCTGCTTCTGGCTGGCGCTTCCCAAGCTTCATGCTTTTTCGTCTTAAAACATCTAAAGAGCTTTTCCCTTATTTCGTCTTAAAACGTCTAACAAACTTTTTCCATGCACTGAGGCAGAGTACGATGGCTTATGCTAGCACTGATGGTTGTATAAACTTATCAGGGCAGGACGCATGGTTCCCCTGGTGATTTAGTGATGAAAGGGAACTGAGGAAGGAGATGGGACTGGGTAGAAATGTTTTAGTCCCAGAGATGTGTCCAGCTGTCTGACACCTCGGGTTGATTGATATGAAGAGACGTGAAGGCATGAAATTAATGTGTGTAAATATCGTAAGATGCCAAGTACTGGAGTGACCCATGGTAGACTGGAAAAGATGTCAGATGATGCTCACAACCAGTAAGAGTGATCAGATCATTGAAAAAAGAAATTTGACTTATCAGTGGCATCTTAGAGAAAAGAGAAAATAATAGACACTGGATTTTGCTTCTACCTGAGGAACATGATGTCCTATCACCTTCCTCCAGCTACTTCTGTCCAATCCCCTATGGCCTCAGCATGAATTCATAGTTACTAAGAAGCCTTTTGTAACGAGTTTAGTTACCTCAGGTACATGATCCTATACCTTCCTGTAATTCTTCTTTCAAATCACACAATGAACTTTCATTTTAGTTACTTCCACAGTTGTGTGTCTTCATGTTAGATGACAACTAAGGCTTATGAGATAAAGAAAAATTTAAAACACTGTAGTGCTAAGAGGAAGGTCTATGATTCAAAGCACTTTTGGTTATAAAAATCTACTTTCTTATCATAATCTCCCAGGATCATGTGTCAAATACTAATTAGTGAGATAATATATAAGAAAATATTGTAAAAAAACTACGTTATTCAAATGTTACTCATGGGAAATGGTATTATTTGACAGCAGGATTTGAAATTCATCCCTTAAATCTTTGTCAAGTTCTCCCTGAACCTCTTCTCACTAATCCTGATCACTGTCTAGAAGCCTTTCTACACGTTTCTTTAGAAATCCTAGGCTCACCGGGCACAGTGGTTCATGCCTATAATCCCAGCACTTTGGGAGGCCAAGGTGAGAAGATTGCCTGAGCCCACAGGTTTGAGACCAGCCTGGGTAACTTGGCAAGACAGCATCTCTAAAATAAACTTTAAAAAAAATTAGCCAGGCATGGTGGTACGTGCCTGCAGTTCCAGTTACCTAGAAGGCTGAAACAGAAGGATCGCCTGAGCCCAGCAGGTCAAGGCTGCGGTGGCTGGGTAGCAGAGTGAGACTCCAACACACACACACAAAAAAAAAACCCAGAAGCCCTAGGCTCTGTCTATACTGTTAAATTGTTCTAAACTCAACCATATTGGGAAAGCTTTATATCTTTTATATACGTTTTGCTCTCCACCTCTTCTTGTTTCTTTCTCCTAGGGGCATTCAACTTAATCCCTTCTCATTTCTGTATGTTGTTGTTCCTGTCTTTTTCCTCCTTCTTCTCCTCCTCTTTCTCTTCTTCCTCCTCCTCACTTCCAGTTCTCGCTTTCTCATCTTATTTTCTCCATTGTCTTTCTCTTCCACATCCTCTATCTTGTTTTTTCTCCTTTTAGGACACCAGAAAAACTGTAGAGAAGATCTGTCAATTCCTGGGTAAGAAGTTAGAACCAGAAGAACTGAACTTAGTCCTCAAGAACAGCTCCTTCCAGGCCATGAAAGAAAACAAGATGTCCAATTATTCCCTCCTGAATGATACGTCATTGGCTGACAATCTATCAATTATGAGAAATGGTAAAAGAAAATGCTCTGGTTATGGAATGTATAAGAATACATGGAAGGCATTCCTGTGCTTATATTAGGTTGCTAGCAGTTGAGAGGAAAGTGTGTGGGAGTTTATCCATTTTTCTTGTTCATCGCCTAGAGGATTTCTCAGGACCCCTGGTCAGGGCATCTCTTTTCATGGTACTGAGGTGGGCTGCCAGCACTGGGAGAAAGTTGACTCAGCTTGGGACAGCTGTCTGACTTACGTGAGGTCATTCAGATTCTCTCTCCTGAGAAGTTGTTCCATTTTACAAACAGTGACCAGATTAATTAGCTACTCCTTCCAGACCTGCAAGCTGTGATTTATCTGGGAATGAAGAACAGGATGGGGGCTTCACATTGGGGCTACCCCGCTGGTGAGTTAGCATAGAGAAGTATCATGAGCAAAGAAATGTATGAAGGAGTAACTCAGCTGGGAAAGGGAGAGAGGAGAGACTTCTGCTGCCAGACATGGTAAGCCTCCATGTGACAAAAGATTAATCATGCCCATCCCATTGGGCTCAAGAAAAATCAAAATGTCTATTGCATGGAGTTAAAGAATAGACTATTCCAGGATCCTCACGCCCAAGTGTATCTGGTTTGGTGGTCCATGGAAGAAAAAAAAAGTAAATGCTTCAGAAGACCTCAAGCAGGTCAGGGCCGCTGCCACCGTGGTGGGCCAGGAAAACAGAGCACAGAGACTAAGAGGATTGTTCTTTGAACCTTAAAAATCTAATGAAATTTACACTGCTGGGTTTTGGATTGCTTGGGACCCATGACTTTCCTTTTTCTTATTGATCTTTCCTGGAATAAGAATAATCATCTTATGTCTGTCCTATCATCATCTTTTGAAAGCAGATTACATGTCTGGTTTCCGAGGGTTGGCAGCTAGAGAGGGATTTTGCCTCGGGACGAATCATACCTCAAGTCTCACCCATACTTTAGCGAGATTGAGATAAGATTTTGGACATAGAGTTGATGATGGAATGGTTTGAGAATATTGTACCGCCAAAAGGAAGGACATAACATATGAATTTCACAGCAACTTGGATGGATTTAGAGTCTATCATACTCAGTGATCTATCACAGAAACAAAGAGCAGAGTTCCATATGTTTTCACTCATAAGCAGACCCAAACATTTACCATAATTCTATAAGAAATGGATTGGTAGTAGTGGGATACTGCCTGGATAGGGCTGGGGACACAACATCAATAAGGGTACCTGATCTCAAATCAGGCGAAGTGGGGACAAAAGGGAGGCTCAAACTTTACCTGTACATACCACTGGTATGTCTAATTCTGAATTGTATCCCACATCCTTAAAATAAAATATATAAGCCAGGCTCGGTGGCTCAGCCTGTAATTCCGCGCCTTTGGGAGGCTGAGGTGAGTGGATTGCCTGAGCCCACGGGTTCGAGACCCGCCTGGGCAGCGAGACCTCATCTCTACAATAAATCAAAAAATCAGCCGGGTGTGGTAGCGTGCACCTGTAATTCCGGCTACTTGGAAGGCTGAGGCGGAAGGAACGCCGGAGCCCAGCAGGTCGAGACTGCGGTGGCCAGGAGCGGCCACTGCACTCCAGTCTGGGCAACAGAGTGAGACTCCAACTCAAAAAATAAATAAATAAAATATATAAAATAAAAAACGAACACACGTTCTTATAAAATCATAATAATAAAATAAATAAAATCACAAATGAATACCAAAAGAAGACTTTTGGGCTGTTGGGATGAGCCACACTTACTTTGCATGTGAGAAGGACATGGGTGTTGGGGAGCAGAATACGGAGTGTTATGGGTTGAAGGGTGTTCTCCAAAATCCATATGCTGAAATCCTACCTTCAGCAGCTCAGAATGTAATCATAATTGGAGGGACCACCTGAGCCCAGATGTTCTAGGCTATGGTGAGCCGTGATCATGCTACTGCACTCCAGCCTGGGCAACAGAGTGAGACCCTGATTCAAAAAAAAAAAGAAGAGAAAATCTGAGTGCTCACACAGGACAACATGAAAGAACAATGGATGTTTACAGGGCACCAATTCCACATTAAACATTTGGCTATACCATTTATATTCATATAAGTTAAGAGTATATAATTTCTAATTATATAATATATTGATTCATATAATCATATCATTCTATATTATCTATTGGTAATATAGATAATGTTCTGTAGTATAATGATACAACATAATATAATTCTATTCTATAATAATTGATATAATATGAAAATATTAATGTGCATGATATATGAAATTATTATATGATCAGATAATTAAGATTGTGATTTCTGGTGTCAGACTCTCTGGCTTCAAATCCATATCCATCACTTTTTTTTTTTGAGTTGGAGTCTCACTCTGTCGCCCAGGCTGGAGTGCAGTGGCATGCTCATGGCCACCACAGCCTTGACCTGCTGGGTTCAGGTGATCCTTCCAAGTAGCTGTTACCACAGGTGTGTGCCACCACATCCAGCTATTTTTTATCTTTTTATTTTTTTTTTTACTGTAGAGATGAGGTCTCGCCAGATTATCTAGGCTGATCTTGAACCCGTGGGCTCAGGCAATCCTCTCGCCTCGGCCTCCCAAGTGCTGGGATTAGGCATGAGCCACCGTGCCCAGCTGATGTGACTTTCTGAAACTAACATACATTAGGGATGCATGCCATGCACATACACCACAAAAAAGGAAATGCTTAGAGCCTTCCTGCACAATGAGTGGTAGGAAGTAAAATATAGTAAAGGTGGGGATGGACAGCTCTAAACTTGAAAGTGAGAAAGAACTTCACTGAGAAGATTGATTGGAGCAAAGACTTGAAGAGGCAAGCGGGCAAGACACGGAGGGAGCTGAGAGAACAGCATTCCAGGGAGAAGGAACAGGAAACGCAAGCAGTCTGAGGAAGGGGATGCCGCCACGTTTGAGGCAGAATCAAGAGTTCCCATGTAATGGAGGAAGGAGAAGGAACGGGTAGTCACAGAGGATGGAGTCCCAGAAGCAACAGCAGCCACAGTCACCTGGAGCCCCATAAGCGCCTTCAGCACTTGCACTAAGTGTAACCAAGAGTCCTTGGAGAATTTGAGCCAAGAGGTGGCCCAATCTGGCTGAGTTTTTTTTTCTTCCTTTTTTTAATTTTTTGTTTGTTTTAGTCGGAGTCTCACTCTCTCGCCCAGGTTGGAGTGCAGTGTCATGCTCACGGCACCCCAGTGTCCACCTGCTGGGCTCAGGTGATCCTTCCGCCTCTGCCTTCCAAGTAGCCAGAACTACAGACACACACTACCACGCCCGGCTATTTTTTATTTTATTGTAGAAACGAGGTCTCGCCAAGCTGTCAGGGCTGGTCTTAAGCCTGCAGGCTCAGGCAATCCACTCGCCTCGGCCTCCCGAAGTGCTGGGATGAGAGGCTAAGCCTTTCAAGGGATCTTGAGGGCTGCCATGCTGAGGGTGACTTCTAAAGGAGAACAATCAAAAGCAGAGAGACCAGTTACAAGTCTATGACAATAATCCAGGTGACAGATGATATTGGCTTGGGTCATGGAGGTGGTGAGAAGTAGCTAGACCCTGGACGTATCCAAAGATACACTGGCATTATTGCTGATGAACTTCAGGCAGGAGGGGCTGGGAGAGAGGAGAAGGCAGGAAATCGCGTCTAGGCAGGTAGACGTGTGAATGGATGTGCAGCCAGGCAGCGTGAGGACCCACCAAGGGATCACTGCTCACTCCGCCATATTAGCTCCAAGATCCTTGTCAAGTGGATGGCAGGAACAGAGCAAGGAGAGATATTGCAGTCTGAAGACCCATCCCTGGTTCTGACGCAAGTTTCTGTTTCTTGCTTTCCAGGCACATCTGGCGACTGGAAAAACCACTTCACAGTGGCCCAAGCTGAAGCCTTTGATAAACTATGCCAGGAGAAGTTGGCAGATCTCCCGCAAGAGCTGTTCCCATGGGCTGTATATGGATACTGATGTCTGTTCTCCTGTCTGGACTGGGGGTCATGGCATAAAAACCTATTGTTTCATCAGGAGGCCTTAAGTTAGCCAATCTTTGCATCTTTGACTACTTTCTTGTTCAAAATTACGAGGGTACCCCTGATGCATGTCATGGCATCCCAGACCTTTCCAAATGTGTGTAATGTTTTTATAAAAGAAACAGTTCCAGTGATAGGTTTTAGAGCAAACAATAAACAAAATAAAAATAAGAAATGAAATTTCAGAAACAATGAAGGCGCCTTTCCATTGCACGCATCTCTATAATTTTTTATTACTCTGACCTTGAGGAGTACAATTCCCAATCTAGTTGTTTTCTTTTACTCTGTATTGTTTGACCATAGGCAATAAATAGCATTTATGGAGGCTTTTTAAAGCTTATATATAGCCAGGCATGGTGGCTCACACCTGTAATCTCAGCACTTTGGGAAGCAGAGACAAGAGGATTGGTTGAGCTCAGGGGTTAGAGACCAAGCTGGGTAAATTGGGGAGACCTGTTCTCTACAATAAATCCCCCCCCCAAAAAGCTTATATAAGTGGCATAGGGCATCATTCATTCATCAGCTTATGCTCTGATTCAGCATTTTATATTTGGGTTTCATCTGTGCTGATGTATGTAGTCTAGTTCATTATTTGTTACTGAGACTTACAACATAATTTTGTTATCTGTTATATGAATCACTGGCGTTTTTTCCACCAATTTTTCCCTTTTTTTTTTTTTTTCCTGAGTCCAAATCTCACTCTGTCACCCAGGCTAGAATGCAGTGGCACAGTCATGGCTCACCCCAGCCTTGACCTCCTGGGCTCAGGCAACCCTCTGCCTTGGCCTCCCAAAGTACTGGGATGACAGGCATGAGCCACCTGTTAGGCCTGAAAATACATTTCCTTGTTGCTTCTCCTTTCATTCATTTATCTTTTCTGTTTAAAATAAGTTGAGTGTTTTTCCCCTCCAAGATGGTGGATAAGAGGCTTTCAAGCGTGCCTCACCCATGGGAACATTGTGAAATAGCATGGAAGAACCAACACAGTGAACCCCAATCCTAGAAGGAAAATGGATATTCATGAGAACAGGAAAGGACACCCCTGATCTCAGGAAAGACAAGAGGGGCTAAAAGACCCTGCCACGACCTCCACAGAAAAAAGTGAGTGTGGATCACAGACCAGACTGAAAACTCCCCTCGGAGATGAACCTTCCAGGCAGGGATCTATACCTCGATGGGTCATGGGAGGACAGCCATATCTCCCAGATCTTGGAGCTGTCTCGAGGGAGGCCGAGAGCTGGTGAAAGGAAAAGGTATCCAGCAAAGCCATGGGTCTGCTCCCAGATCTGGATTGGGGAGGAAGACATCCTTCATGACCGGGGTCCATTGTGGCACCAACGGTGACCTCTGCGGGCACTCGGGTTTCTGCCCAGGGCCAAGGCTGCTTGCTCTGAAGCAGGGGAGGGGGTTCCCACACCCAGAACACAGCTGGAGCGTGGAGACTGCCCCTGGCTTTGAGACCTGACCTGGGCTCATTCCAGCCTGCAGCTGGGAGCAGCAAGGAACCCCCCCCTCCCCAAATCTGCATTTCCCTCTGGGAGAGACAGGCTGCCAGGGTCAGATCTTTGACCCGGAATCCATCTGAGTGTCCCCGCCCTGTCCCACTCCTCCAGGCAGCGGTGGCAAAGAGCCCCAACAATGCCAAGGAACACCCAGAATATCAGCCTAACAATGCACTTCACAGAGGGCGCTACTCCCAACCCCTGAAATCTGCTTCCTGAGCAGAAGGACACAGTTTCTCATGCACGGTGAGTCCTTCAGTTTTGCAACCTGGAAATCTTCAGCAAGCACCACGGTCAAGAATCCCAGATGCCTATCCAGGTACGGTGGCTCACACCTGTCAACCCAGCACTTAGGGAGGCCAAGGCATGAGGATAGCCTGAGCCCAAGGTTCGAGACCGGCCTGAGCAACATGGCGAGACCTCATCTCTACAATAAATTAAAAAAAAAAAATCAGCCAGGCATGGTGGCACATGCCTGTGTTTCCTGCTACTTGGAAGGCTGAGGTCGAAGGATCCCCTAAGCCCAGCAGGTCGAGGTTGCAGAGGCCGCGAATGTGCCACTGCCCTCAGCCTGGGCAACAGACTGAGATTCTGACTCAAAAAAAATCCCAAACTCCTTCTCAGACTAGCTGGAGTGGCATGCCCCAGTAATATTGAGGAAAAGGAGAACTCTCCACTCCTGCACAACTGGGAAAGTCATCTAACCAACAGGAGACCAGCGGAAGCGACCCCACTCTGCCTTTGAACCAACTGCCGCCCTGTAGCCACTCCCAGGCCATGAGGCCTGAAACCAAGGCCACCTCCGTGACCCAGAATCAAGTTGCGGGTGTCATTGTGGGGCACCACAGCCTGCCCCCCTCCCCGCAGTCTGTCAGGGAAGTGTACCCCCCAGCACCAAGAGTCAGGTGGCCTCTATCCCTACACACCCGATGAGCAGCCTATCACATCCAATCACCTGGAGAAGGAGCCCGAGCCACACCTCCCCCCAGGGCAGAGTCCCTGGAGCTGTTCAATGTCCAGAGCTCCTGTTCTTCTAGATTAGGAGCTCAAGCCACACTGCCCTTCCTGGGGGGCAGCAGAGGTCTCCTGGCAGCTCTCCAAGGCACACTTTTGAGTACTTGGAGGCTGCACCCCAGACTCTGTGCTTGACATTGGTGGACCTACAGTCCGGTTGAACTGGGAGCACAAACCACAGTGCACTCCACAAACAGGCTCATTGCTGAGACAACAGAGTGCTTCATCCAATCACTAAGGATCAGGTCAATACCTATTCACAGGGACAGTAGCCAGTCCACACCCACAGGCACCACCTGCTAGTCTGAAAGTTGAACGAGACATCACAACAGGTCATTTCCTCACATCAGCATACACCACCAAGAAGCAAGTTAAGCCCCCCGAGACCCCACCACCACCCTAGTTTCACAGGAAGCCGTGGGTCAGCCCATAATTTCACAACATCACTATTACTACCAATATCTGGGAAAGCCTACATATACAGGCCATCTAGATCAAAGGAACTCATACAGATTAGCTGTCGTGGTTCATCCAGATGAGAAAGAGCCAGAGAAACAACTTTGAAAGTATGAAAAACAGTCTTAAGCCTCCAAAGGGGTTCGCCAATCTTCCACCACAGAAACTAGCCACAGTGAAATTCTTGAAATGTCAGGGAATGAGTTCAACATATCAATGATAAAGAAGCTCCATGAGATGCAAGATAAAGAAATTAGCAGAAAAATGCAGGAGGTGAAAGGAGAAATTGACAACTTTCTTTTTTTTTTTTTTTTTTTTTTTAGAAAGCAGGATTTATTGAGAGAAGAGAAAAGCTCCTACAGTGGGAGGGGACCTGAAGGGGTTGCCTGAAATTGACAACTTTCAAAAAACCCAAACAGAACTAAAAAACTTTGGAGAAGATTTCAGACGCAGTCCAAAGCCACAACAATAGGCTAGAGTAAGCAGAAGAGTCTCACAGACAGAATACAGGCTCTTTGAACTAACCCAGTCAGACAGAAACAAAAAAAAAAAAGAATCAAGAAGAATAAGCAAAGCCTACAAGAAATATGGGATAATGTAAAGCAGCCAAATCCACAGACCACAGGCATTCTAAAGAGAAGAGAAGTTAAAGTAAAAAGTATGAAAAAGATATTTGGGGAAATAATTTAAGAAAACTTCCCTGGTCTCTAGAGAAGCCTGGATATCCAGGTACAAGAAGCCCAAAGAACTCCTGCAAGATATATGGCAAAAAGAACCTCACCAAGGCATATCATTGTCAGATTCTCCAAAGTCCACATGAAATAAAATATCCTAAGAGCAGCAAGAGAGAAGCACAAAATCACTCATAAAGGAAAAAACATGTTGGGCTCGGTGGCTCAGCCTGTAATCCCACATCTTTGGGAGGCTGAGGTGAGTGGATCGCCTGAGCCCACGGGTTCGAGACTCGCCTGGGCAGCAAAACCTCATCTCTACAATAAATCAAAAAATCAGCCGGGCGTGGTAGCGCATGCCTGTAATTCCGGCTACTTGGAAGGCCAAGGCGGAAGGATCGCCGGAGCCCAGCAGGTTGAGGCTGCGGTGGCCGGGAGCAGCCACTGCACTCCAGTCTGGGCGACAGAGTGAGACTCCAACTCAAGAAAAAAAAGAAAAGAAAAAACATTAGACTAACAGACTTCTCAGCAGAAACTCCACAAGCCTGAAGAGAATGGAGACCTATTTTCAACCTCCTTCACAAAAAAATGCCAGCCAAGAATTCTGTATTCAGCAAACTAAGCTTCATCAACGAAGGAAAAATAAAGTCCTTCCCAGACAAACACTAAGGGAATGTGTCACCACCAAATCAGCCCTACAAAAGATGCTCAAAGGAGTTCTAAACTTAGAACTTGGAATGGAAACAACAACTCTATCGTAAAAGAGCACAAAAGTTCAACGGTCACAGTGTCTATAAAGCAAGTATACATTAGAATCCCTAGGTCAGCTAGCTTGCAGCACAATGGCAAGAACAAAACTTCACATATCAATATTAACCCTGAACATAAATGGGCTGAATGCCACCACTTAATCCAGAGTGGCAAACTGGATTTAAAAAAAAAAAACCCAACCATTTATTGCCTGTAAAAGATCCATTACTGGCCAAAGACAATCAGAGAAGCAAAGCAAATGGTAGAAAAAGTTATATTAAGTGAATGAACAACAAAAACAAGCATGAGCAGCCCTTCTATCAGACAGCTAGACTTTTTTATTTTACTTTATTTTATTTTATTTTGTTTTGAGTTGGAGTCTCACTCTGTCACCTAGACTGGAGTGCAGTGGCCGCTCCCAGCCACTGCAGCCTCCACCTGCTGGGCTTCAGTGATCCTTTCGCCTCAGCCTTCCAAGTAGCTGGAACTACAGACACATGCTACCACATCCAGCTAATTTTTTTGATTTGTTGTAGAGATGAGGT